AGAGGAACCTAAGAAGACTTGATGATAAAATGCAATGTGGTATCTTGGATGAGATCCTGCAACAGAAAAAAGACACTAGGAAATATGCAAAAATATGGACTTTAATAATAATGTAGCTGAGCACAATGCCTCATGCCTATAATCCCAGCACTTTGGGAGGTGGTGGCAAGAGGATTGCCTGAGCCCACAGGTCCAAGACCAACCTGGGCAATTTGGTGAGACCATGTCTCTACAATAAATCAAAAAATTAGCCAGGTGTGGTGGCGCCTGCCTGTAGTTCCAGCTATTTGGAAGGCTGAGGTGAAAGGATCACCTGAGCCCACCAGGTAGAGGCAGCAGTGGCCATGAGTGTGCCACTGCAATCTAGCCTGGGCGACAGTGAGACCCCAACTCAAAATAATAATGATAATAATGTATCAGCCGGGCTCAGTGGCTCAACCTGTAATCCCGCGCCTTTGGGAGGCTGAGGTGAGTGGATTGCCTGAGACCATGGGTTTGAGACCCGCCTGGGCAGGTGAGACCTCATCTCTACAATAAACCAAAAAATTAGCTGGGCGTGGTAGCGCATGCCTGTAATTCTGGCTACTTGGAAGGCTGAGGCGGAAGGATCGCCGGAGCCCAGCAGGTCGAGGCTGCGGTGGCTGGGAGTGGCCACTGCACTCCAGTATGGGTGACAGAGTGAGACTCCAACTCAAAAAAAAAAAAAATAATAAATAAATAATAATAATAATGTATCAATATTGGTTAATTAATTGTAACAAACGTACCATACTAATGTATGAAGTTAATCATAGAGGAAAATGGGTGTCAAGGTTATAGAAATTCTTTCTACTATCTTCATAATAGTATGGGTATTATTGTGCATTCAGACACAGCACAATGAACCATACTGGAGTGACTTAGCCCTATAGCCCTGCATAATTTGGGGCACCCTGAAGAATGCAGAAGACCTTTCATTCAGAAGGGCTTTTAGCTAAGTAACAAAGACACTTAAATACACACACATGTGATTACAGCATCTTTGATAGCTACTTTTACTGGTGAGTGGGTCCCCTTTCCTTTGATGGAACCAGAGTGGACACTGATACTATCTGGTCAACCACATTCTTCCTTCTAGTTATTACTTTCCATTAGAAGTTTGAATTAGAAACTAATGTAATCACCTGGATTCCTATTGGTTTCTGGTTCCCAATCCTAGTTCTTCATGAGGGACAGCTGTGCTTTCTACTCTTGCTTTCCATAGGATTAATTACTGATTCACAGCGAGTCATTTATTTTACCTATGTTAGCTTAAATACGTTTCTGTATCTTTATGACAATAATAATCTGTGGGTACATAGGGTTTTTTGTTGTGGTTTGTTTTAGTCGGAGTCTCACTCTGTCGCCCAGGCTGGAGAGCAATGGCATGGTCATGGCTCACTGCAGCCTCGACCTCTTGGGCTCAGGCCATCCTTTCGCCTCAACCTCCCAAGTAGCTGTGACTACAGGTATGCGCCACCATGCCTGGCTAATTTTTTGATTCTCTGCAGAGAAGACAGCTCACTATGCTGCCCAGGCTGGTCTTGAATACTTGGGCTCAAGTGTTTCTCCCACCTCGGCCTCCTAAAGTGTTGAGATTATAGGTGTGAGCCACCTTGCCCAGGAGTATTTCTTCCCTCCAGAGATACTGAGATTTGGCATGGAATAAAAAATGAATGTCTGCCCTACAGGAGCTTAGGTATACTTGGAAAGGTAGAACCCTTACAAAGATCTTACCAAGGCAAGTTTTAAGGTCCGATAAGTTGTAGAGATCATGGTAGTCAAGATATGTGGGTTTCAGAAACCCAATATGAACAAGACAAAAAGCAAATTCGTTGAATTACATGAAAGGTCCAGAGGTAGAATGTAGCCTTAAAGAAGGTTCAAACAGAACTAGCTATCTCAGATGGTCCAATTGATAAACAAATTAATTATCCCAAATGTTTCTAGCACAGACTGTCGGGTACATTTTTGTATCACAACACTTAAATGTGATGATGCAGCTGGTGTGGTGGTACACATCGGTCAGTAGTCCCAGCTACTCTGGAGGCTGAGGCGGGGATCACTTGAACTTGAACCCAAGAGATTGAGATGAGCCTAGGCAACATGGCAAGAACTCGTTTCTTTAAAAAACCAAAACTCAAACAAACAACAACAACAACAAAACCATAGCTGAGAAGCCACCTTGTCCATTACAGAGCAAAATATAAGGTAAAGCAAAAGGGACAAGGCAGGGTAAGATGAGAGGTAGGGCCGGGCTCGGTGGCTCAGCCTGTAATCCCGCGCCTTTGGGAGGCTGAGGTG